AGAGGAAGAGGAGAGGGAAGAGAGAGAGAGAGAGAAGAGAGAAGAGAGAGAGAGAGAGGAGAGGAGAAGAGAAGAGAGGAGGAAGAGAGAGAGAGAGAGAGAGAGGAGAGAGAGAGAGGAGAGAGAGAGAGAGAGAGAGGAGAGAGAAGAGAGAAGAGAGAGGAGAGAGAGAGAGATGAGAGAAGAGAGAGAGAGAGAGAAGAGAGAATTTTCATGCGTATATATATATATACTACAAAACACAAGCTCCTGTCCGAAACCCGTGAATCCTCCTCATATGTGCGGCATCCTCTTCCGGGATAGCAGCGCGGGTGATGCGCCGCGGCTGTTTGTGCCGCTCCGCCCACAGAGGCACCAGTTCCGCTGCCCACCCTGAAAACATGAGTCCTTGTGGCACAACACTATATTTCCTCATTCATCCAGCCAGCATTTAAACTGCACTGAAAACGTCTTTCAAAAAGATCGGGTTTCCACCCTTAATGTCTCTCTCTTCCTCTCTCTCTCTCCCACACCTTTTTCACTTTTTCTCTCCTCCCTCTCTCTTTCTTTCCCCCCCCCCTCTCTCTTTCTATATCCTCCCCCTCTCTCTTTCTATATCCTGCCGTCTCTCTCTTTCTCTTTCCTCCCCTCTCTCTCTTTCTCTCTCCTCCTCCTCTCTCTCTTTCTCTATCCTCCCCCTCTCCTCTCTCTCTCCTCTCTTTCTCTCTCTCTTCTCCTCTTCCCTCTCTCTCTTTCTCTCTGCTTCCCCTCTCTTTCTTTCTCTCTCCTCCCCTCTCGCTCTTTCTATCACCTCCCCCCCTCTCTCTTTCCCCCCCCTCTCTCTCTCTTTCTCTCTTCTCCCCCTCTCTCTCCTCCCCCTTTCGCTCTTTCTATCACCCCCCTCTCTCTCTTTCTCTCTCCCCCTCTCTCTTTCTCTCTCCTCTCCCTCTCTCTCTATCTCTTCCCTCTCTCTCCTTCCCCTCTCGCTCTCTATCTCCCCCTCTCTCCTCCTCCTCTCTCTTTCTCTCCCCCCTCTCTCTCCCTCTCTTCCCCCATCCCCTCTCTCTGTATTCATTTCTGAGTCTTCTGCGTCTATCTCTTCCTCTTCTTCGTCCTTTGTGGTTCAGGATCACTCAGTCGGGAAGGTCTTTGACGGCACGAAGGCGAGAAAATATTTTGAAACCCAGATCACTCGAACCCTTGACGGCCTTCGTGAAGGCCGGACAACTAGGACGTTCATCAGGACCTGCGTCGCCTTGTCACGAACCCCAACTCGCCCCTCCTCTCCCTTCTTCAGTCCTTCGGCTCTGAAGTCGCAGGTAGAATGACTCAAAGTCTTGGGGAACTACAGTGAAGTTCACATCTTTTGATCAAATCCACTAATCTTTTCTCCTGCCATTATTTCCTATTTCTGGGTTATGTGTGTGTGTGTGAGTGTACATTGATTTAAATATTCGTATACACATATGAGTATGTGTATGGTTGTGAGCACACTCGCTAAAAAGGGTATCTTATCCGAAGAGTAGGTGACACTGAAACGATCGCTAGGAGTTGATACCGAATGGATGGTACTTTTTCTCAAAGCTCGGAACAGATGAAGCTTCAGAATGTTTTCGAAGTGTTTCGTAGTTGTTATGGCTAGGACCTCGTATCATGGCATTATTAGCAATGGGATCACCAAAGACCATTCGTAGCTTCAGAACTGCGCTTTACTCTCAGGGAATATCAAGAGCCGAAATATTAAAATTATTTTTTTCGAAGCTAACCCGTGTCTCTGTAGTTCCAGTGACATCAAGAAACTAGTCCACCAGAGGAGACAAGGCAAGAAGTGGGCGCCCTTGATGCACGACGGAGGAAGCTCACGTAAATGTCATTCATAATTAGAAATCAATATGCTGAATGAAAGACAAATAGGAAGCTTGCATTGAAGTAAATGAATATCATGAGAATGAAAACCATTTGATAGTGGCAACCCCCCTCACAACTGACTGGGTTTGAGAAAGGTGTATGTGGCCAGTAGTTAGTTGCCACGTCCCCTTACCGGGATTTTTTGTTTGTTCCTCAAGTCGGGGCCATTTTGCCTCGTCCAGGATAACAGCCCCATCCACACGGTGTCGTAAAGGCATCTTTCGGCAACACCCCGAGATTATGCTGTGCCACGTCCACCCAGGTCACCACGCCTCAATCCTCCCCTAATATCGTACCTGCAATCGCCAGATGGTCGTTCCTCAAGCAAGTAGGGCAATTACGGCATGGGAGCGACTGCGCTCCACAGGCAGCGTTAGAGGCATCCATCCCACGCTGACGCCAACATTCGCAAAGCTGGTGCGTCAATGCGA